TTTAAAAATAAAATATATATATATAATATATATATATATATATATATAATATATATATATATATATATATTATTTTTTTTTTTTTTTTTTTTTTTTCAACAAGTCGGCCGTCTCCCACCGGGGCAGGGTGACCCAAAAAAAGAAAGAAATCCCCAAAAAGAAAATACTTTCATCATCATTCAACACTTTCACCACACTCGCACATTATCACTGTTTTTCAGAGTGCTCAGAATACAACAGTCTAGAAGCATAAACATATAAAGATACACAACATATCCCTCCAAAACCTGCCAAATCCCAAACCCCTCCTTTAAAGTGCAGGCATAATATATATAATATATATATATATATTATAGATATATATATATATATATATATATATATATATAATATATATATATATATATATATATATATATATATTTTTATAGTCGGACTTGAGTCCTGGAAATGGGAAGTACAATGCCTGCACTTTAAAGGAGTGGTTTGGGATATTGGCAGTTTGGAGGGATATGTTGTGTATCTTTATACGTATATGCTTCTAAACTGTTGTTTCTGAGCACCTCTGCAAAAGCAGTGATAATGTGTGAGTGTGGTGAAAGTGTTGAATGATGATGAAAGTATTTTCTTTTTGGGGATTTTCTTTCTTTTTTGGGTCAGACCTGAGTCCTGGAGGTGGGAAGTACAGTGCCTGCACTGTGAAGGAGGGGTGAGGAATATTTGAAGTTCTAAATTGTAGTATTGGCATCCCGCTGGCAAGGCGGTAATGGAGTGAGTGATGCTAAAAGTGTTTCTTCCTTTCTGGGTCACCCTGCCTCTATGGGAGATAGCCAGTTTGTCAAAAAAAAAAAAAAATTCTCACTATATACCCAACCGAATTATTTTTAATTATTTTATTATCACACTGGCCGATTCCCACCAAGGCAGGGTGGCCCAAAAAAGAAAAACTTTCACCATCATTCACTCCATCACTGTCTTGCCAGAAGGGTGCTTTACACTACAGTTTTTAAACTGCAACATTTACACCCCTCCTTCAGAGTGTAGGCACTTTACTTCCCATCTCCAGGACTCAAGTCCGGCCTGCCGGTTTCCCTGAACCCCTTCATAAATGTTACTTTGCTCACACTCCAACAGCACGTCAAGTATTAAAAACCATTTGTCTCCATTCACTCCTATCAAACACGCTCACACATGCCTGCTGGAAGTCCAAGCCCCTCGCACACAAAACCTCCTTTACACCCTCCCTCCAACCTTTCCTAGGCCGACCCCTACCCCCGCCTTCCTTCCACTACAGACTGATTCACTCTTGAAGTCACTCTGTTTCGCTCCATTCTCTCTACATGTCCAAACCACCTCAACAACCCTTCCTCAGCCCTCTGGACAACAGTTTTTGGTAATCCCACACCTCCTCCAACTTCCAAACTACGAATTCTCTGCATTATATTCACACCACACATTGCCCTCAGACATGACATCTCCACTGCCTCCAGCCTTCTCCTCGCTGCAACATTCATCACCCATGCTTCACACCCATATAAGAGCGTTGGTAAAACTATACTCTCATACATTCCCCTCTTTGCCTCCAAGGACAAAGTTCTTTGTCTCCACAGACTCCTAAGTGCACCACTCACCCTTTTCCCCTCATCAATTTCTATGATTCATCTCATCTTTCATAGACCCATCCGCTGACACGTCCACTCCCAAATATCTGAATACATCACCTCCTCCATACTCTCTCCCTCCAATCTGAATCCAATCTTTCATCACCTAATCTTTTATCCTCATAACCTTACTCTTTCCTGTATTCACTTTTAATTTTCTTCTTTTGCACACCCTACCAAATTCATCCACCAATCTCTGCAACTTCTCTCAAATCTCCCAAGAGCACAGTGTCATCAGCAAAGAGCAACTGTGACAACTCCCACTTTATGTGTGATATTCTTTATCTTTTAACTCCACACCTCTTGCCAAGACCCTCGCATTTACTTCTCATACAACCCCATCTATAAATATATTAAACAACCACGGTGACATCACACATCCTTGTCTAAGGCCTACTTTACTGGGAAATAATTTTCCTCTTTCCTACATACTCTAACTTGAGCCTCACTATCCTCATAAAAACTCTTCAATGCTTTCAGTAACCTACCTCCTACACCATACACCTGCAACATCTGCCACATTGCCCCCCTATCCACCCTGTCATAACGCCTTTTCCAAATCCATAAATGCCACAAAGACCTCTTTAGCCTTATCTAAATACTGTTCACTTATATGTTTCACTGTAAACACCTGGTCCACACACCCCCTACCTTTCCTAAAGCCTCCTTGTTCATCTGCTATCCTATTCTCCGTCTTACTCTTAATTCTCTCAATAATAACTCTACCATACACTTTACCAGGTATACTCAACAGACTTATCCCCCTATAATTTTTGCACTCTCTTTTGTCCCCTTTGCCTTTATACAAAGGAACTATGCATGCTCTCTGCCAATCCCTAGGTACCTTACCCTCTTCCATACATTTTTAAATAATTGCACCAACCACTCCAAAACTACATCCCCACCTGCTTTAACATTTCTATCTTTATCCCATCAATCCCAGCTGCCTTACCCCTTTCATTTTACCTACTGCCTCACGAACTTCCCCCACACTCACAACTGGCTTCTTCCTCACTCCTACAAGATGTTATTCCTCCTTGCCCTATACACGAAATCACAGCTTCCTATCTTCATCAACATTTAACAATTTTCCCCAAAATATTCCCTCCATCTTCCCAATACCTCTAACTCCCATTTAATAACTCTCCTCTCCTATTTTAACTGACAAATCCATTTGTTCTCTAGGGTTCCTAACTTGTTAATCTCACTCCAAAACTTTTTCTTATTTCACAAAATTTGTTGATAACATTTCACCCACTTTCTTTATTTGCTCTCTTTTTACATTGCTTTCACCACTCTCTTAACCTCCCCTCTTCCTCTCCATATACCCTTCCCCCCTTGCATCACTTCTACTTTGTAAAAACTTCTCATATGCTATCTTTTTCTCCCTTACTACTCTCTTTTCAAACATCATTCCACCAATCGCTTCTCTTCCCTCCCGCACCCACTTTCCTGTAACCACAAACTTCTGCTGAAAACTCTAACACTACATTTTTAAACCTACCCCATACCTCTTCGACCCCATTTCCTATGCTCTCATTAGCCCATCTATCCTCCACTAGCTGTTTATATCTTACCCTAACTGCCTCCTCTTTTAGTTTATAAACCTTCACCTCTCTCTTCCCTGATGCTTCTATTCTCCTTGTATCCCATCTACCTTTTACTCTCAGTGTAGCTACAACTAGAAAGTGATCTGATAAATCTGTGGCCCCTCTATAAACATGTACATCCTGAAGTCTACTCAACAGTCTTTTATCTACCAATACATAATCCAACAAACTACTGTCATTTCGCCCTACATCATATCTTGTATACATATTTATCCTCTTTTTCTTAAAATATGTATTACCTATAACTAAACCCCTTTCTATACAAAGTTCAATCAAAGGGCTCCCATTATCATTTACACCTGGCACCCCAAACTTACCTACCACACCCTCTCTAAAAGTTTCTCCTACTTTAGCATTCAGGTCCCCTACCACAATGACTCTCTCACTTGGTTCAAAGGCTCCTATACATTCACTTAACATCTCCCAAAATCCCTCTCTCTCCTCTACATTCCTCTCTTCTCCAGGTGCATACATGCTTATTATGACCCACTTTTCGCATCCAACCTTTACTTTAATCCACACAATTCTTGAATTTACACATTCATATTCTCTTTTCTCCTTCCATAACTGATCCTTCAACATTACTGCTACCCCTTCCTTTGCTCTAACTCTCTCAGATACTCAAGATTTAATCCCATTTATTTCCCCCCACTGAAACTCCCCTACCCCCTTCAGCTTTGTTTCGCTTAGGGCCAGGACATCCAACTTCTTTTCATTCATAACATCAGCAATCATCTGTTTCTTGTCATCCGCACTACATCCACGCACATTCAAGCATCCCAGTTTTATAAAGTTTTTCTTCTTCTCTTTTTTAGTAAATGTCTACAGGAGAAGGGGTTACTAGCCCATTGCTCCCGGCATTTTAGCCGCCTCATACGACATGCATGGCTTAGGGAGGAAAGATTTTTTCCCTTTCCACTTCCCCAATGGCCCAAAATAGAAGAAATAAAGGCGATCCCCCAAGAGGTTCCGAAAAAGAAAAATACCTAGATTCTATCATTGTCTTGCCAAATTGCTTCATGTACGTTTTGAACTGTAACATAAAGTGTTCAGAGGAGGCACTGATTATCCCTGTTAATCTAGCGTGTTTATGAGACAGAAAAAGAATTATTATTATTTTATAATAAAAAATGAGCGCTCAACTCACGAGGGTCATACAGCACTGCATATATACTTTACTGAAAAACAACTGAGATTAACACACACCAAGAAACTTCTACAATCAATTCCCTTGCATAATTAAAACTACAACTGTGACCTACTGTTGGAGAGAGACCCATGTCCCATTTGTCAAAAACACACTAGCTAAACTATTATGATTAAGTGGAAACTCAGTATTTGAACTTAATTGACTCCTAGGTGGTGAGGGAACTGGGAAAAGCTGGATGTGGGAAATAGTATTTCCCAGGTTTTAATTATCAGTTGCACATAGTGGAGGATGTTGAACTGACTCTTGCAAAAGTCTCAGAGTCAAGTCAGTGTCAGAGGTCACTTCAAATCACTTTTGAAACAGGGTTTTCCTGTAAAGCTTTTTCACAAGTAAATTTTAAACAAACTGGTACATTTGGACTCCAACAAAATGATCAAAGACTAGGCCAATTTAAAAAAAAAAAAAATGTTCGGACTCCTGTTTGTCTGAGGTCCAGTTTGTTCGAACCCCAAGGTTCCACTGTATTTACATGAAACAACTGCTCAAATAAAAAGAAAAAATCTTTACTCCATTTCTTACCTGTTCTTATAAAGAGAAATGCTGAATAAAACCCAAATACCGACGTATAGAGAAACTGAAAACCTGTGAAGAGAAACAAGTCTTAAGTGAAATGTAAAAATTTTCTATAAGTCACTCAGTATCACGAGCACAACAGCTGTGATACCAACTGTTAATCAACCTTTTTTATTTTTTACCAAAAGATGGAAATAGACATAAATGTAGTATAATACAATCATTTAATGAGAGTGTTTTGCCCATGCAATGGGTTGTAGCAAGTCACTTGATAAAGCCCACTGTGTGGGCAAAACAGTATCAATAAAAGATCACATTATACTGTGTATGTCTTTTTTCCTACCATTCCTTACATTAGAGTAGCTCACTCAATTCAACAATTTATTAAACACTATACAATTTCTTCCAACGTAATATAGTGGTACCTCGGCACACGAACAGCTCCCAACTCGAACACTTATATAAGTGTATTTTTGTAAGTGCTTTTGTAAGTGTAATTTTTGGCGTCTGAAACGGATTAATCTAATTTACATTATTCTTTATGGGAACAAATTCGTTCGGTATCAGCACTCGAACAGCCTTCTGGAACGAATTAAGTTCGTAACTTGAGGTACCACTGTACTATGTCTCAACTCATAAAACCAGTTTGAAACTACTCAAGAGATCTGAGTGGGACTTTCACATGAGTAAATAGAATTTTTTTTTTTTTTTCAACAAGTCGGTCGTCTCCCACCGAGGCAGGGTGACCCACCGAGGCAGGGTGACCCAAAAAAAGAAAGAAAATCCCCAAAAAGAAAATACTTTCATCATCATTCAACACTTTCACCACACTCACACATTATCACTGCTTTTGCAGAGGTGCTCAGAATACAACAGTTTAGAAGCATATACGTATTAAGATACACAACATATCCCTCCAAACTGCCAAAGCTTATTGCTTGGGTAGCACTGAAAATTGGGTTGGATAGTATTCTGTTAGTAGGATGGATTGTGAAGGACATGCCGAGTATGGGCCACCAGGCCTGCTGCAGTGTTCCTCCTTTCTTATGTTCTTATGTTAAGAAACCCTTATTAACTTAAGAATGTTAAATTAATTGAAAGTATTAATACACACTTAAAATTGTACTACTGAAAATTATAATAATCATAATATTTTTTTTTGCAAACCCTTCTACTATAAATTTTACTAATTAAAATAAGCTTTGCTAACCCTCTGTTTATAACAATATATAATTAAAATTTACCACTCCATAACCTGTGTCAAGTTTTTAAGTAGTGTGTGAGCATTAGTATCAGTCTGCCTTAAATGTCAGTTTTTTTTTTTTTTAACAAGTCGGTCGTCTCCCACCGAGGCAGGGTGACCCAAAAAGAAAGAAAATCCCCAAAAAGAAAATACTTTCATCATCATTCAACACTTTCACCACACTCACACATAATCACTGTTTTTGCAGAGGTGCTCAGAACACAACAGTTTAGAAGTATATACATATAAAGAGACACAACATATCCCTCCAAACTGCCAATATCCCAAACCCCTCCTTTAAAGTACATACTTAACAATACTTTACTACACGAAAATTACACATTGTATACTATGCAAAGAAATAGTTTTTTCATTTGAATTAGAGTTATAGCATATACCTCCATCAGTATAACATATCATCATCATAGCATATATCACCACTAACACAAGAAGAATAGTTATACAAAGGCAACATCACTTCCTCGTCCCATATGATATTAAGCAAATAAAGTGTATTTTCTTACTGGATATGAGAACCACAGCTTGTAGATCAATTCCCACTCGCAGACGGTCAACTGCATGATGGAGATGGGCTGCAGGGAAAGAATAAGACCATGTCATAAATAAATTAAATTTACGACTGCTCCTTGGCTTACGATATTTCAATTTTACAATGGTGCAGCAGCAATTACTTAGGAGATGAGACTTAAGATAATTACCCAACATGAAGGCAGCAAGTCCATAACTTGTATTCATTTACTTTTCAATGCTGGTATTTAGTTACAGTAATTATTTGTTTATTTAGTTATTCAGTGACAGTAGTTATTTATTTACTTATTTAGCATATCACATTCACAAGTGACTTACAAGGGGTTTGTCGTAACCCCATCATAAGTCGTGGACCACTTGTATTTAGGCACAGGTACACACAAGTACAGTGGACCCCCGGTTAACAATATTTTTTCACTCCAGAAGTATGTTCAGGTGCCAGTACTGACCGAATTTATTCCCATAAGGAATATTGTGAAGTAGATTAGTCCATTTCAAACCCCCAAACATACACGTACAAACGCACTTACATAAATACACTTACATAATTGGTCGCATTCGGAGGTGATCGTTATGCGGGGGTCCACTGTACAACTATCATACATAGTGTAAATTGTAATTGATTTTAAAATTACAACACTAGAATATTTAAATTATAAACCATTTTAGTCTGTTTTGTTAAGGAAGAAATTACAGTGAAGTACATGACTACGAATACATACATATATAAAAAAATACCACAGAGAAAAACTGCAAACATCAATCAGGTAGAACTTAAGTGGCATAGCAATGGTACACTACTAACCCACTCCAAAGAACAATGGAGCAATGAAGATGGCTGTCCCAGGAGACACACACTGCAGGAGGATAGGCAGCATGCAGGCACGGAAGGTAAACTCCTCGGAAAAAGGAGCAACGACTTGATTTCGCCACCAGATTGGATTTTGTACTGTGTTGTACCAATACAGAGGGTCTGAAATTGATAGGTTTGATATACTGTCAACTATCTTAATAATAATAATAATAATAATAATAATAATAAATCTTTATTTCTACAAGTACATGTACAAGGTATACAGACCATACCTGACATCAGTGACATACTATACAGAAAGCTCCTCTATACATTTCATTACATATAAACTACATTTCGTATACTGCAAATAAGGATATATTTGTATTGTGAAGAGTGCATGGAAAGGCTTCTCTAATACATGTTATTCAGTTTTCAATGTACTTTTTCAATCACATTTACATTCATTTGCACTATATAGAAAAGCTTCATAATAGAGCTAGCTGTATATCATATTTTACGGCAAAGAAAATGCTCCGGTGTCGAGGATGCCCGCCAATTCTGGCTGGCTAAATTTTGGAAAAAAAGAAAAAAAAAGAAAAAAGGAACTTCGGCCAGAAAGACACTGGGTAAATTTTCAAGACTTATTTTGGGAAAAATACAGCATCTTCGATGACATAAAATACAGTTCTTGAATTATAACATTTACAGTTCTGTAGAACTTTATCAAAACTCATAATATATTCCAGTACAGTGGACCCCCGGTTAACGATATTTTTTCATTCCAGAAGTATGTTCATGTGCTAGTACTGAATGAATTTGTTCCCATAAGGAATATTGTGAAGTAGATTAGTCCATTTCAGACCCCCAAACATACACGTACAAACGCACTTACATCAATACACTTACATAATTGGTCGCATTGGGAGGTGATTGTTAAGCGGGGGTCCACTGTATAGGGTAATTTATATCTGTGGTGAAGATGAATAAATGTAGGATCTGTTACCTTTACTCAAAGTGGTATTTGAGTTTATGTATCTTCAATATTACTATGATTATTTATTTTATCATTAATAAAGTTGGTTTATGCCCCTTAAACATTCTCATTGCTAAACATTAGGAGGGGTGTTAATGTTGCAGTTTAAAAACTGTAGTGTAAAGCACCCTTCTGGCAAGACAGTGATGGAGTGAATGATGGTCAAAGTTTTTCTTTTTCGGGCCACCCTGCCTTGGTGGGAATCGGCCAGTGTGATAATAAATAAATAAAAATAGTCACTGGTCATACAGGAGTAACGTAACTGGAGTTTACTCCCACCCATCCCCCCACCCTTGGATTTCATGGAGGTGACACCAAAGATGCTGCCCCGGGTGACACCAGCCCCAGCAATGCCACTGGGTCTTGCAAGCATACCAAAGCATTAAAACTCACCCAAGTACATGTGAAGGGTGTAAGTGACAGGTACCGTGAGATGGGACTGCACAAGGGGTCCCAGAAACAATATAAATGTGAGAATCATTGGCAACACTAATGCTGGGATCAGTCCCTCCCATCTTAGTCCCATTTGTGACCAGAGTGTTACCTGGAAAATAATAAAAGTAAATGATCTGAAAATTACAGGTTCAATTATAACCTACATAATTAAACATTTACCAAACTACTATAATAAATTACATTTTAAAACAAAAATACAACACCCTGTTTAAGTTCTCATGTACTTTTCACTTCATATTAAAAGTTAACAGAATATTATAAAATAGAATGGAAATAAGTCACTTTGTCTGACTTCTTTTTTTTGGGTTATCCCAGTGAGTAATTTACACACTGCTTGATAACTGTACTTATGTGTACCTGTGCCTAAATAAATTTACTTACAATAATGATAGCCAGACTGTACAGAATTCCCTGGCTATGATGCAATGTCCTATTTTTATTATAATTCCATGTGCAATATACATTCATTGAATGCAAACTGTGCAGTCTGCAAAGACTACTGAAGAACCTTATTCTGCAGCTAAATGTTGAAGTCCTGATTAAGCTTAATACAGCAACTATCAGCCTGGATTATTTTCATCATATTCATAGGGGATGGGAGGCACTAATCCCACATGGGAAGCAATCAGGTTCAATCCAAGGAAGGAGAGGTTGGGGCCAATCCCTCAGATCAAGAGCCCCTCATTAGCATCAAAGATCCTCCCTTGAAAAGATCAAGAAAGGTAAAAAAAAGAGGAAACATGGGTATATTATCATATACAATACGTACTACATTACTGTATTATACAACAGTGTAGTGCCATACTACTGTACTACTATATTGTGATACAACTATATGTAATATCAAAGCCAAGAGGCCTGCAGTACTGCTCCTTCCTTCTTAAGCAAGTATGACTTGGACCTGCCTAGCATGGGCCAGTAGGCTTGCTGAAGTGCTCCTTCCTAATGTTTTAAATCACCTCAACATTATATTCAAAAAGCAAGTGTGGGTCATAAAAGTTGGTCTACCCCTACAAAATAATATAAAGGAACATGAGAAAAAGTTAAATATTATAGCAGTACAGTGGACCCCCGGATAATGATCAGCTCCCAACTCGACCAATTATGTAAGTTTATTTTTGTAAGTGCTTTTGTAGGTGTATTTTTAGGGGTCTGAAATGGACTAATCTAATTCACAATATTTCTTATGGGAACAAATTCGGTCTATAACGGCACCCAAACAGACTTCTGGATTGAAATAATATCGTTATGCGGGGGTCCACTGTATTGAGAAACAATCATCTCACCTCCTCTGAATCTTCACTGCCAAACCATATGACAAAAAATGGAGACACTATGGTCATGAGGAAGACACTGATGCATCGTTTTTTAATTGTTGATGGATGGTCTCTGTGGAGAAAAAGATATTTTAAAATGGTCAATGCCAATATAATTAAAATTATACCAAAGAAATAATGAAAAATAAAAATTAGTCAGTATGCCTGGGAGGTCTTGTCGTGGACCGAGCTGCAGGGGTGTTGATCCCTGGAATGCCCTCCAGGTAGATGCTCAGGCATTCCTCACTAATACGGAAGGTTAGGTTCCAGACCGCTGCCATAAAGCTAATATTTCCTTAGAAGTGAATCACAGCGTTTTTTTACTTGCCAGTGCCAGAGCATGTTCACACTAGCTAGGCCTACAAAAATGCCAAAAAACATCTTATGATAAAAACAAGCACAAAAAATAATAAACAATAATATATTGTAATTAAAAAGTGCCATATTAGAAAAGCTCTCTTAAAATGTGCCTTAAAGCAAGGTACACTTGTACTTTACTTCTGGGCAAGTTTATATAAATTCTACAGTATTAAATGTGCTGTTCAATGGAGACATACATATACAGTGGACCTCCAGTTTATGATATTTTTTCATTCCAGAAGTATGTTCAGGTGCCAGTACTGACCGAATTTGTTCCCATAAGGAATATTGTGAATTAGATTAGTCCATTTCAGACCCCCAAACATACACATACAAACGCGTATACATAAATACACTTACATAATTGGTCGCATTGGGAGCTGATCGTAAACCGGGGGTCCACTGTATTTTGTGCCTATTGGAAAAAGGCCTTTTAAATATAGTCTAAGCTAATGTTACTCAACCAAACCTAACTGACAAATTTACAGCTAGTCTAGGTTGGACTAAGCTTGAGTTACATTATTAAATTTACGTAACAAGCAAAATTATATTTGTGAGGATGAGCTATAACCACCGTCATAGAGCACTTGGTAAATGAGAGGTAGTGTAATCTCTGTTATATTCATGGAAAGCACTAAACCCATAGGGGTTACAGAGAACTTGGGGAATAGGAAGAAATGCCTATTATGTTCATGAGGAAGCACTAAATTCATAGGGGTGGTAGAGCACCTGGGGAATGGGAGGTGATTACTATTATGTTCATGAGGAAGCACTACACCCACAGGAGTTATACATCTGAGCGGTAATTATTATTATGTTCATGAAGAAGTACTAAACCCGTAGGGGTCGTACAGCCTCTGAGGAATAATAGGGTAAAGTCTCGATCCAAGGAAGGAGAGGACACCTTCAATCCCTTAGATCACAATTGCTATCAAAACCAATGTAAGCGCTAAACGCGCAAGACTCACGCAGCGGTGACCGTGTATCAAGAGCCCTTCCCCGGCATCAACACCACACGAAGATCCAGCAGAAAAATATCACCTGATCTAAGAAGCATTTTAAGTGCAAAGACACTTGAATATACCACTTAAGACATATTATAAATAAATACCAGTTAATATACCTTCCCTGAGTAGCAGTCCAGACATATAAACTACCGACGTAAAGGAAAGAAAGGAAAAAACAGGCGAAAACTTCCTTGAGGCAGAGACCCCCCATGATAACTTGTTATTGTTGGGTTGTAGAGCAGCGACGGCCCGAGGACCAGTGAACCCGGCACCAGTGGTACTGATACTGAGGACCAGTGAACCCGGCACCGGTGGTACTGATACTGAGGACCAGTGAACCCGGCACCAGTGGTACTGATACTGAGGTCCAGTGAACCCGGCACCGGTGGTACTGATACTGAGGACCAGTGAACCCGGCACCAGTGGTACTGATACTGAGGTCCAGTGAACCCGGCACCAGTGGTACTGGTACTGAGGTCCAGTGAACCCGGCACCGGTGGTACTGATACTGAGGTCCAGTGAACCCGGCACCAGTGGTACTGATACTGAGGTCCAGTGAACCCGGCACCGGTGGTACTGATACTGAGGTCCAGTGAACCCGGCACCAGTGGTACTGGTACTGAGGACCAGTGAACCCGGCACCATGTGGTACTGATACTGAGGACCAGTGAACCCGGCACCAGTGGTACTGGTACTGAGGTCCAGTGAACCCGGCACCAGTGGTACTGATACTGAGGACCAGTGAACCCGGCACCAGTGGTACTGATACTGAGGACCAGTGAACCCGGCACCAGTGGTACTGGTACTGAGGACCAGTGAACCCGGCACCAGTGGTACTGATACTGAGGACCAGTGAACCCGGCACCAGTGGGTACTGATACTGAGGTCCAGTGGAACCCGGCACCAGTGGTACTGGTACTGAGGACCAGTGAACCCGGCACCAGTGGTACTGATACTGAGGACCAGTGAACCCGGCACCAGTGGTACTGGTACTGAGGTCCAGTGAACCCGGCACCAGTGGTACTGATACTGAGGACCAGTGAACCCGGCACCAGTGGTACTGATACTGAGGACCAGTGAACCCGGCACCAGTGGTACTGGTACTGAGGACCAGTGAACCCGGCACCAGTGGTACTGATACTGAGGACCAGTGAACCGGCACCAGTGGTACTGATACTGAGGACCAGTGAACCGGCACCAGTGGTACTGATACTGAGGTCCAGTGAACCCGGCACCGGTGGTACTGATACTGAGGACCAGTGAACCCGGCACCAGTGGTACTGATACTGAGGTCCAGTGAACCCGGCACCAGTGGTACTGATACTGAGGTCCAGTGAACCCGGCACCAGTGGTACTGATACTGAGGTCCAGTGAACCCGGCACCAGTGGTACTGATACTGAGGACCAGTGAACCCGGCACCAGTGGTACTGATACTGAGGACCAGTGAACCCGGCACCAGTGGTACTGATACTGAGGACCAGTGAACCCGGCACCAGTGGTACTGATACTGAGGTCCAGTGAACCCGGCACCAGTGGTACTGATACTGAGGTCCAGTGAACCCGGCACCAGTGGTACTGATACTGAGGACCAGTGAACCTGGCACCAGTGGTACTGATACTGAGGACCAGTGAACCCGGCACCAGTGGAACTGATACTGAGGACCAGTGAACCCGGCACCAGTGGTACTGATACCGAGGTCCAGTGAACCCGGCACCAGTTGGTACTGATACTGAGGTCCAGTGAACCCGGCACCAGTGGTACTGATACTGAGGACCAGTGAACCCGGCACCAGTGGTACTGATACTGAGGTCCAGTGAACCCGGCACCAGTGGTACTGATACTGAGGTCCAGTGAACCCGGCACCAGTGGTACTGATACTGAGGTCCAGTGAACCCGGCACCAGTGGTACTGATACTGAGGTCCAGTGAACCCGGCACCAGTGGTACTGATACTGAGGTCCAGTGAACCCGGCACCAGTGGTACTGATACTGAGGTCCAGTGAACCCGGCACCAGTGGTACTGATACTGAGGTCCAGTGAACCCGGCACCAGTGGTACTGATACTGAGGTCCAGTGAACCCGGCACCAGTGGTACTAATACTGAGGTCCAGTGAACCCGGCACCAGTGGTACTGATACTGAGGTCCAGTGAACCCGGCACCGGTGGTACTGATACTGAGGACCAGTGAACCCGGCACCAGTTGTACTGATACTGAGCACCAGTGAACCCGCACAGTGGTACTGATACTGAGGACCAGTGAACCCGGCACCGGTGGTACTGATACTGAGGACCAGTGAACCCGGCACCAGTTGTACTGATACTGAGCACCAGTGAACCCGGCACCAGTGGTACTGATACTGAGGACCAGTGAACCCGGCACCAGTGGTACTGATACTGAGGACCAGTGAACCCGGCACCGGTGGTACTGATACTGAGGACCAGTGAACCCGGCACCGGTGGTACTGATATTGAGGACCAGTGAACCCGGCACCGGTGGTACTGATACTGAGGACCAGTGAACCCAGCACCAGTGGTACTGATACTGAGGTCCAGTGAACCCGGCACCAGTGGTACTGATACTGAGGTCCAGTGAACCTGGCACCAGTGGTACTGATACTGAGGACCAGTGAACCCGGCACCAGTGGTACTGATATTGAGGACCAGTGAACCCGGCACCAGTGGTACTGATACTGAGGACCAGTGAACCGGCACCAGTGGTACTGATACTGGGACCAGTGAACCCGCACCAGTGCTACTGATACGAGGCCAGTGAACCCGGCACCAGTGGTACTGATACTGAGGTCCAGTGAACCCAGCACCAGTGGTACTGATACTGAGGTCCAGTGAACCCGGCACCAGTGGTACTGATACTGAGGTCCAGTGAACCCGGCACGGTGGTACTGATACTGAGGTCCAGTGAACCCGCACCAGAGGTACTGATACTGAGGTCCAGTGAACCCGGCACTAGTGGTACTGATTACTGAGGTCCAGTGAACCCAGCACCGGTGGTACTGATACTGAGGTCCAGTGAACCCGGCACCAGTGGTAACTGATACTGAGGTCCAGTGAACCCGGCACCAGTGGTACTGATACTGAGGTCCAGTGAACCCGGCACCGGTGGTACTGATACTGAGGTCCAGTGAACCCGGCACCAGTGGAACTGATACTGAGGTCCAGTGAACCCGGCACCAGTGGTACTGATACTGAGGTCCAGTGAACCCGGCACTAGTGGTACTGATACTGAGGTCCAGTGAACCCGGCACCAGTGGTACTGATACTGAGGTCCAGTGAACCCGGCACCAGTGGTACTGATACTGAGGTCCAGTGAACCCGGCACCAGTGGTACTGATACTGAGGTCCAGTGAACCCGGCATCAGTGGTACTGATACTGAGGTCCAGTGATCCCGGCACCAGTGGTACTGATACTGAGGTCCAGTGAACCCGGCACCAGTGGTACTGATACCGAGGTCCAGTGAACCCGGCACCAGTGGTACTGATACTGAGGCCCAGTGAACCCGGCACCAGTGGTACTGATACTGAGGTCCAGTGAACCCAGCACCAGTGGTACTGATACCGAGGTCCAGTGAACCCGGCACCAGTGGTACTGATACTGAGGTTCAGTGAACTCGGCACCAGTGGTACTGATACTGAGATCCAGTGAACCCGGCACCGGTGGTACTGATACCGAGGTCCAGTGAACCCGGCACCAGTGGTACTGATACCGAGGTCCAGTGAACCCGGCAGTGAACCCAGAACCGATGGTAGATACCGAGATCCCATGAACCCGGCACCGGTGGTACTGATACTGAGGTCCAGTGAACCCAGCACCGGTGGTACTGATACGAAGGTCCAGTGAACCTGGCACCAGTGGTACTGATACCGAGGTCCAGTGAACCCAGCACCAGTGGTAATAATACTGAGGTTCAGTGAACCTGGCACCAGTGGTACTGATACCGAGGTCCAGTGAACCATGCACCAGTGGTACTGATACCGAGGTCCAGTGAACACAACACCAGTGGTGGATACCAAGGTCCAGTGAACCCGACACCAGTGATACTGATACTGAGGTCCAATGAACCCAGCACCAGTGGTACTGATACCGAGGTCCAGTGAACCCGACAGCAGTGGTACTGATACCAAGGTCCAGTGAACCTTGCACTGGTGGTAGATACCGAGATTCAGTAAAACCGGCACCAGTGGTAGATACCGAGGTACAGTGAACTCAGCACCAGTGGTACTGATACTGAGGTCCAGTGAACCCGGCACCAGTGGTACTGATACCGAGGTCCAGTGAACCCAGCACCAATGGTACCGATACTGAGGTCCAGTGAACCCGGCACCAGTGGTACTGATACCGAGGCCCAGTAAACCCGGCACCAGTGGTACTGATACCGAGGCCCAGTGAACCCGGCACCAGTGGTACGGATACTGAGGTCCAGTGAACCTGGCACCAGTGGTACCGATACTGAAGTCCAGTGAACCCGGCACCAGTGGTACTGATATCAAGGTCCAGTGAACCCAGCACCGGTGGTAGATACCAAAGTCCAGTGAACCTGGCACCTGTGGTGCTGATACCGAGGCCCGGTGAAGCCGGCACCAGTGGTAAAGATACCAAGGTCTGGTGAAGCCGACACCAGTGGTACTGATATCGAGGTCCATTCCGGAGTTACTGCTACTCACCATCCCATTGGTACTGATGCCCCACCATCCCGGCAGTACTGATACCCACCATCTCTACGATACCAATATTACTACCTTCATGGGGAAACACTGAACACAAAGGGGGTCATACAGTGCCTGGAAAATGGCAGATTATCAGATTTGATCCAAGGAAAAGGAGGGAAGTGTATATTGAAAGTGCCTCTTGTGAAAGAAGGGCATAACTCACTTTGCACCATCAATGTATACTGTAAACTAGTCTAACATTTTACATAATAATGTGTATATATGTTTTTTTTTTTTTTCAACAAGTCAGCCGTCTCCCACCGAGGCAGGGTGACCCAAAAAAGAAAGAAATTCCCCGAAAAGAAAATACTTTCATCATCAATTCAACACTTTCACCACACTTACACATTATCACTGTTTTTGCAGAGGTGCTCAGAATACAACAGTTTAGAAGCATATACGTATAAAGATACACAACATATCCCTCCAAACTGCCAATATCCCAAACCACTGCTTTAAAGTGCAGGCATTGTACTTCCCATTTCCAGGACACAAGTCCGACTATAAGAAAATAACCGGT